ACCTCCTTCAATTGCATATATCTTGACTTTTATTCAAGTTAATTGATTATTTTTTAATCAAATGATAGACAAATGAACAAACTTTAAAATAATACCAATAACTCCACATGCCCAAAAATTGACGAGCGCCTGATTCCATATATATATATAGGGGGGGCTCTCATTCATTAGGTTCAAAACCTGACAGCACTGGAAAATTTTCTTTTTTAAAATGTTCTCCTTTCACCTCCTTTCCTGCTCTCTTACCATGTTCTGTCATCTGCTTTCGTCTCCACTTTCTGTCCCCACCCCCATTTGCCCCCTCCTTTGGGCTCCTGACACTTTTTTTACATGCATGTGTGCCCACATGCGTGCGTGTGTATAAATTGAATGTGTGTATCCTTTTCTTCTGATCAGATTAAAGAGAATGAGCTTGAGGTGACAGAGGAGGCAGAGACTGTCAAGATCCACTTGACGTCTCCTTTCCCTCCTGGTTTCTTCTGTACCAATTTCAGCAATTGGGACATCTGCAGCATTGATATCCAGATACAAACTGAGCAAAGTCATGTGCTGCACTGTGATGGGAGTCAAGTTGTAAGCAGTGTTGTAGGCCCTAATATTATCTCTGAGATAAAACTTTTGAACTTATTCCGGTGAAGCAAACTATTTGAACATTTTATGTAATACACTTTTATGAGGCCATTAACGTTTTAGATCATTTGATTATGAAAGTAAGACCCGTGGATCTTTCTATGATAGGAAACTTAGGATACTGTGGGGAAAGGTGTTTACACTCCTCACAAAACTGTTTTTGTACTGGAAGAATCATTATCTGACACCTTAAGGTGTTATCTCTGGCTCAGAGATACACTCTGTCATACTTAAAGTATGTTCATGCATTGATGTTATCGGTCCACGTTGTTCTTTGTCCACCCTTAGCCCTTTTGCCCCACATCTTGCTTTCAAACATTTCCTTCACAATAGTCTGGTGATACCAAAGTATTTTCATTTTGTTATGCAGAGTTTGCCTTGTGTGGAGAATCTGACACTCCCCATTTTTAGTCTTTTTTGCTGTCCAGCTGTGTTAGCACCAACATCTCAAATGCAGATATTCTGTTTTCTCCTTCCTTTGTTGAAGTCCAGGAAGAATCGTTAGGCTTTTACTGTTCTCTGAATTTTCATGTGTGAGGCTGAAGAACTACAACAACAAAAATCTTGTTTAATTTTTTGCTATTGACCCACAGAGAAGGGTTAGCTTTTATCTTTCATAACGGTAAACCTGATTGCATCGTCTTTCCTCCCTCATGTATGAGAATTCAAAAGAGCATTACGTCCAATGTTGCTGTTGCTGTTTCCCCCGCTTATTGATGTGAATTATAGTTTCATAACAATACATTTTCTTGTATTTTTTTTAAAACAACAGGTCTCTTTTTCAATTTCAGCCTCAAGTAGTCGTTAAGCAGGTTGGAAATGATGGTGATGAAGTGCTACAATGTGGAAGACGGATCAACCAAGATACCTGGATGACTTCATTTGTTTTTGAAATTAAGGCAGTGCAAGACAATTTAGTTGAGCCGGATCAGAAGCTAATGCTGAATATCACTGCTGATGTTCTCCTAGATGAAGATGTACATTCTTCGCAGAGTGTTGGCCTACTCAATGTAAGTATATTTATTCATTTTGCTGATAGCTGAGAAATTTTAGATGTACAAAAGAATTAATTTCTTTTGGAGGATGGCCTGTTTAACTCTAATGTTGTGCTTAAGGGACCTAATCTATCAAACCAACGTGTGGTTGAGTATTCCTTTTATTAATTGGTTTCGTAGCTATCGTTTAGTTAGTGTTGATACTGAAAACAACTTGCCATCATAATGATACCCTTGCAAGAGCAAAAATCTTCCTTGTGAAACTGATGTCAATGTCCCTTTGAATCATGGACACAAAAAATAAGGGATATTTGATCTGTACTTTTAATATATTAGATGCCTTCTAAAGTAGATAGTGAATCTTATTTCAAGATATCATTGCGCTCTCATGAACTCTGTTGAACTGTTGGTATGGAGACAGACTGGGATTGTTTGAGATAGTACATCAGGATATATTCCATCATTTTTGCATCGTTTCACTAGAAAATATGGCGATTGATTAAGAAATGCTGATCTGTGATAGTTCTTTAAACCGAAAGTTTAATAGAACTTGAACTGGGTTGGTTTGTTTTATGCCTTTTAGGATGGGCCTTATGAATGCAGTGAACTCTATAGAAGTTGTTTTTTTTGTTTTTTTCAGCTGACAGTGCTGGATAATGACAAAGTCAGTCAGTGTGCTTTTGGTGTGCACATGTCAACATTTGATTCCAAGTATGTATTACATAAGTGCATTGAAAATTTTTAGTTTTTCCAGCTCATTGCCTAGCTCTGCTAGTAGTTTCTATGTGTGAGAACTTGTGTAGGTCTGTGAGATGTGTGTGTGTGTGTGTGTGTGTGTGTGTGTGTGTGTGAATGTGTTGTTAAATGGTCTCACATTGTACATTTTCCATCTCTCCATTTGTCAGTTGTGTTGAATAATATTTCTGCACTGTACAGTGCTTAGAGCATTCTATGGATTAGGCACTATATCGATTCTCATATTATTATTATTACTATTATTATTATTGTTGTTGTTGTTGTTGTTACTATTATTTTTGTTAATATTTTTTAAGAATGAACATTAAACCTAACAGCCCATGAATTGTAACTCCACCAGTTCCATGTATAGCAGTTATGAGTAGGCCTATAAAGTGAAAATAAGCAATGTGGGGAGAGTGACTGCGCTAAACAGCAATCAGTTATAAGCGGGTGGTTGAATGGTGCTCTGGTGTGTTTGCTACTTCATTCCTATCAAAGATCTATCGTTCTTATCTCCCTCCTTCTTTTTTGTGTTTGTTACTCTCTTGTAACACAACTATTCCTCAGCACTTATATGACCTTCTTGTGTTAAACCAGTGCTATAAAACTCTTACTAAAAAAATCAATTATAAATTGTATGCTGACATTCCTTCATGTAATTAGCACGTAAGAGAGTTCTGTTTATTTAGTCTTCCTTTCTCATGCATAAAAAAAGAGGAAAACAGCATAAATAACTGTTGCTACCCAGGCTTTTGCGGAAGATGTATATATCTGCTCTAAAATGTATGCTGTCCAAAACTAGAGAGTCATGGTTTTGTTTTTTGTGGCTAAAGGTTTAAAGACTCTTCTGAATTACTTCAGAGCAAAGGGTAGAATAATTCAGCAGAACTTCTCAAATAGTACAAAGTGTTCCGATCAAAGAATGGAATGGAATTGGTATTATAAAATGTTTGAAACTTTTCAAAATACAGAAGAAAAAGGATTACAACCTGAGACAGCATTGAGTGGAAAGTGGAATGTGAGACCTCTATGTATAATACTTCCATATTGTAATCTTAATAAGAATAAATAGCTTGTTTAGCACATATCCCTGCTCTACGCGCTTTACACTGTAATCATACGTTACAAAAGAGGCTTCCTGCAATTTATTCTTGGCCTTTTGCTTACTCTGCAGGTACTTCAACAACTACAGAAGAGGAGAGTTCATTGTCTACAGACATACATCTATGCCGTTTGAGGTAATTTTTACTTGAAGAGGATGTGGATAGTGAAGCTTCAATGAAGATGAGTCTTTTTTTTATCATCCATTTTCTTCCTTTTAGCCCCTCTGTTTCTCTGTGTCTTTTCCCTCATCTTATTTTTATCAACTTTTTTGTTCCTTAGAATGTGAGTGTTGTCACCTTTGGGCATAGACAGTAAGAATGTCATGTTGTGTCATGTGTGTGCAACACTATTAATTGTGGCAGTTCTGTGCTTATATGGTAAGTCTGTCTTTTTTTGCAAATGAAACAAAGGGGATCAGAAAGAGGTGTTTCACAAATTCACACTTATGCAAGGTTTTGTCTTTACTCATAAATGGACTGTACTGCCTAAGGGACTCTGAACCTGGATATACATTTTTTTCTGTTAAGTTCAGTTTTATAATTTTTTACTTTTTTATGTTCGTGTGCTCTTCCTCCTCATTTTTCTTCTTTCTACTTCTTCTTGTTGTTCCTCCTCCTCCTCTTCCTTCTCCTCCTCCTGCACATCATCCTCCTCCTCATCCTCTTCCTTTTTCTCCTCCTCCTCCATCAAGAGCTACTTTTATTCTGTACATGTTCACAGGTGAGGACTCTGCAACAATCATGTGACAGCAACCAGACGTGCACCTGTGCTGTGATGGTACTGTCAGGGAATGACGTTGTTGTTCTGGACCGATGTGATGGCGGAGCTGCAGGTGCGCTAGACACTCGTCTCTACCTGAATGGAGATCTCACGGAAGACACAAGAGTGATACAGTTTGTTGATGGAGGCAGATACAGAGTATGTACTTTTTTTTATGAATATCTCATTCAAAATGTTAAATTTGGGCAGAAGCATAAATCAATTTTCTTCTTTAGGTTGCAGATCTAAAACATACATCAGCGATAATGGTTCACCCTTTATTTTTCTGCTGGGGTGCACTCAAAATGTCTATATTACTATATGTCTAAATCTGATGAAAATTGCCAAGCTGTCAGAAAAATACCCATTTCTTTGATTTTATTATTTTGATGAGCACCTGATTTCACCACGATGCCTCACATATATCACTCAACATTTTTCACAAACATTTAACCTTTCTGTTGATCTAGACTCACTCAACCCACACATACATATGTGCCAAGACGTGGTGGAATCAGGCACTCGTCAATTTTTGGGTATATGGGGTTATTGGTATCATCCTAAAGCCTGTTCATTTGCCTTCCTTTTGGTGAAAAAAAGTATTGATCTATGTTGAATAGAAGGCGAGATATTTGCAATTGAAGGAGGTCATTGCCGTCTTGTTTCAGAGGTAAAATTATCGAGGAAATGACTGCCAAAGTAAACTTCCATAGCCTAAGAGTCTTTGGAAATTGAAAATTTAAATTTTTTTGTGCCTTTCATCAATGTTTTTCTGTAAAATCCACACAGAAATGTGTTTCTAAATGGACATAAAAGATGTTGAGCCAAAAAAAAAAATTTAGAAAAGAATTGCCCATCGGCCAAAAAGGTGCCGATTTCTTTGATTTCATTATATTGACGAGCGCCTGATTTCACCATAATGCCTCTCATATTATTATACTCCATGGGTATATATTGGATTATAAAAAGAAAAACACAGAAAAGGATGTTTTTGTAACAAAGACCAGTAAAAACTATTTGAACTTTCTTTCTAGATTGTCTTGCCGACCATGACCTACATTGATGTGAGCTTGGCCTCTCTTGCTTCTGATTTTTACTTGGAAGGTGTTATTCATAGTTCTGCCAAAGACTTTGCACAAGTAGATGGTTAGTATGCTTTAAATGTTCTCTAGAATGTTATTTAGTTATTGTTACTTGTAGGATTTTTGTTTGTCTCTTTGATGCAGTGACTTCTGTATGACTTGCTCCTTTAGATCCCTGTAGTGTGCTTAAGTTCTAAGTAATAACAATGATTGTAATTATAATTAGTAGATTTCTACAGTATCCTGTCAGGTTCATAAAATCATTCATTTATACTCTTGTTAACACATGCATACAGTCACCCATACACGATTAAAACTCACCCACTCACACGCTGCTCATACACACAGATGCGCGCATGCAGGCACTTATACACACACACGCTTACTGGTCTTTTAATGTCTCAGCTTTCTTTTGTGCCATTTTGTGTAGATATGTACTACCAGCTCACACCCCTCCTATCTCATCCAAAAAAGTAAAGTAAAGTAAGTACACCAACGTCCCATTTCTAATTGAATTAGAGATTTAATTTATGCTAACTGTTTTTATTAGAGAAAACAAATTTTCAACTGTGTTTACAACTAGAGCGTCTCAGTAACAACTTGTTCCATATTTCCCTTGAAAACTAGAGTACTCGCTCTGACCTCTGTTTAAAAAATCTCATTTCCTCATTTTCTTTGATCATTTTTTCTTCAGGCCTGTGTGGTAACAATGATGATTCTGACAGAAATGATTTTTTCAAAATGGACAACAGCACTTCTAATGATACCAGGGCAACCCCTGATGCCTTTATTGAACACTGGAGGTATACATCACAGTTCATAATCTGCAATACTTGAATGTTAACCTCAGGATGTTCCTTTATCAGATATTTTTATTTTTTTATTTCTCTTGTTGTGATTTTGATTTCCAACTATCAATACATGGAATGACTTGCTTTCTTGTTTTGCATCAAGTATATAAAAGGGTATATGAAAGTGGGTGGTTGGCGGGTGCTCTGGTGTGGTTTGCTTCTTCTTTCCTGTCAAACATCTATCGTCCTTATCTCCCCTTCTTCTTTTTTGTGTTTGTTACTCTCTTGTAACACCTCTAATCTTCTGGAGCTCATATGACCTTGTGCAGTTGCGAGTGCCGTAAAACCTCTACTAAAACGAACTAGGGTATATGAAAGATCTGCCTTTTGTCAGTGATGGAAGTCTTTTTTTTTTTTTTAATATATATTCAAATGTTTGCAGAGATAGGAGGTACATGGGGCTTGAAATACCCAAAAGGGTAACCGAATATATAACATATTTTAAATGAGATAAGGGAGTGACAATTGGCAATAAAGTTGTCATTAACTTGCTGCCAGCGTGTTTTTACACAACATTCGAGAGTTAAGGGCCTGGAACATTATGTGTTGCTTTCGACTGCTACTACAGTTCCGACTGATATAGTGGCCAGTTATAAATGGCTATTGTTAGGGGACCGTACGCCCCAATAGCGCTTGGCGCTAGGGGACCGTACGCCCCCATAGTGTTTGGCGCTAGGGAACCGTACGTCCTCTGCGCTGAGGCTTGGTGTTACGGGACCGTGCGCAGATACGTGCACGCATCCAAAAATACTGGAGGAAAACGGCCAGTTTAACGAAGTTCCTGAC